TGCTGAGTTAGGACTTTATGGGATATAGTAGGCTGCTAATATTCTGTACTGGACATTATTTTCCCACCATTTTCATAGGGTGCCAGGCTTTTCTTAGACTTTGTGTCATACAATACTTACTTGTTTGGAGTAGTTGAGATGGAAACATAATCTATTGAAAACATCACTGCTTCCTTTCTGAATTTTTTTTAAAGATTTTATTTATTTACTCATGAGAGACAGAGAGAGAGAGAGAGAGAGAGAGAGAGAGAGAGAGGCAGAGACACAGGCAGAGGGAGAAGCAGGCTTCATGCAGGAAGCCTGACATGGGACTCAATCCCGGGTCTCTCCAGGATTAAGGCCCTGGGCTGAAGGCAGCACTAAACCGCTGAGCCACCGGGGCTGCCCTTCCTCTCTGAATTTAAAGAGACTATTATCATTCTTCTTTTAGATACTATTTTTCGAGCCAAAATCTCGTAAAGATGGGCAAGGGGAAAAAAGAAAGGTTTATAATATCCACAGGGTTAGCTTTGGCTAACTTGATACTCTGCTACTAGATTCCTATGATTAACAATATAAATGAGGCCCAGCTCACACTGGTAAGGGAGGACACCCCCTTGCCCTCTAAACAAGCATCTAACACTGTCTAGGATCATGGGCAGCTTATAATATTGTCAATAATGATAATAATAATCATTCCAATTTTTTTTTAATTTTTGTTTATTTATGATAGTCACAGAGAGAGAGAGAGAGAGAGAGAGAGAGAGGCAGAGACACAGGCAGAGGGAGAAGCAGGCTCCATGCACCGGGAGCCCAATGTGGGATTCGATCCCGGGTCTCCAGGATCGCGCCCTGGGCCAAAGGCAGGCACTAAACCGCTGCGCCACCCAGGGATCCCTCATTATTCCAATACTATTGGAAAGATATTTGGACCTTGGAGTACCCAATAATGTTTAATAATAATAATCATTATTCCAATATTATTGGAAAGATATTTGGACCTTGGAGTACCCAATAATGTTTTATCTTTTGGGGAAGCCATATGGTAGAATGGCTAACTGGTGAGCTCCAGAATCAGAGGAAACTGGCACAAATCCCAACCATGGTCACATCTTCCCTGTAAGAAATTAGGAAAGTTGGCTTTTCTAAGCTTCAGATTCCTTAAAGGTAAAATGAGCAAGACACAGTATCCACCTCCAAGTGAACTAGGAGAATTAATTAAGAAAAATATGTGCAACTAACATGCATAATATAGAGCCCAGGTGCTAAGCCATATAAGTATCTTATTAACATAATAAACTGTCTTATTATTAGTCTTAGATCTATCAGTTTGTTCCTATGTGACCTCAAGCAAGTCACCAAATCTTAGCAAGCATGAGATTATAAATAAAGCTGATGCAAATAATATCACCTACTGGAGATTACTGTGTAAACTATGAAGTGTCTGCAAATGTTAATCAAGGTTATTGTTACTGCCATTGTTATTCACACTCAGTGATCCATTTCTTTTTTAAGATTTTATTTATTTATTCATGAGAGACACAGAGAGAGAGGCAGAGGGAGAAGCAGGCTCCCTGTGGTGAGCCCAATGCGGGACTTGATCCCAAGACCTCAGGATCACGACCTGAGCCAGAGGCAGATGCTCAACTGCTGAGCCACCCAGGTACCCCTCTTGGTGATCTTTTTAATCAAAAAGTTTGTGGATTGCTTTCATTTGTAAAGTGAGGAGCTAGGATAAAAGCCAAGAGACAATGGAAGGATATGTATATCATGTAATAATCCAGGGCAATTTCCAGCTTCCTAAATTGTGTGCATGGTACACATGTACCATGTACATGGTATACATGTACATATGTATATCGCAAATTAAGACCTTCTGGAATTTATCCCCTATTATGAGTTGGTTAACATTTCCCTTGGAGTGATCAATTTCCTCAACCAACCTGAGCAAGCTAGAGGACCAGCTGTTTTTCTTTTTTTTTTTTCTTAAATAATCTTACCTTCCCTGGTGTCAATAGGAAACAGTATTTACTCACTACTGTTTTCCTTTCAAAAATCTGTCTAGTTGCATACTAGAAACAGTTTCAGCTGGTTTGTTTGTCTTGGACAAGCTGTTGAAGTGAAAAGTTTTTGCTTGGCTGAATGTGGGACAGTTTCATAACCCTTCAAGAAGTGCACTGAAGGTGGGTGCCAGCTCCGGCTGCTTCTAACATGCCTCCACTTGCTGCCCATTGTCGAGGGTGGCCAGCGTAATTAAATTAAGACAATGAGCAAAGCAACAGATGCGACTGAGACCAAATCCCTGAGTGCTTTTGTTTTGTCACTGTCATTGTCTGCAACAAAGAAGTCACATGTGAGAGCCTGGGAAGGGAGCCAAATGCAAACCAGACAACATCCCAGCTGGTTTTGAATGGCCTCCACCTTACGCGTGTGTGCATGGGAACCATGCTACTTGGCGCAGTGTCTGTCGACTCAAGTGAGCTTCTGCCCATGGCTCTGCTGCAAGGTCGAAACAGACCCAGAAGAAATAGGCCAGAGGATCTCTGTGCTCACTGACGCTTTACACCTCTGCCATCCAGAGAAAAGAAGAATTTCTCTGTTGGGGAAAAGGATAAGATCCATGCGCTTGACCAATCTGACTTCAGTCCTTTGACTTACAGCCCTCATGAATTTGGAGAGGGATATATAGAATAAATATAACCTGAGTTTTTTTCTTCTGTAAATCTGGGATTAATTTGGCTTGAGAGAAAGACTAGAGATTAAATACTTCATCTTTTAGTTTGTTACTATTTCATTCTTGAGCACTTTCCAAGTGTGGGCATCATTAGGATTCTTAAGAGTCTTCTTTTTCTAAGCTAGTATGCCTGTTAAAGCGAAAAGAAGGCAAACTCAGATTAGCATATTTTTTAGATCTGTTATTTGATTTGATTAGTAGTTTGATAGAGAGGTAGCATCCTTAATAATAGCCATTGGTGGGGATTTTGATGAGCCACATACCATCTGCAGGATCCATTGCATATCAAACAGAAAAGTTTCAAGGTGTTTAGGACAATAGTGAGCCTACTATATAGCCCTATTTGTCTTTCTTCCATTTTTCAGGAGAACTCCTTTAAGAAAGGAGAATAGCATATAAAATTGGAAATACAAATTTACTGGTAGCTTAAGAGTAGGTGCTTTAGCAGCAACAAATGCATGTTCAGTGGACGTAGTAAAATTGTATGGTATCTGGGGGGAAAGTGCCAGGATTTTAAAACAGATGCATTTCAAGCTATCCAAATACCAAACTTCTTCCCACAACTTTTTCTCAATGGCCACTGAGCTATGTTTATTTTGATAAACATATCTATACAATAACGCTATCTTCCTTCTATTTAATCAATATAGGATATTGACCGTCAATTTGCAAAGTGCTACTAGCTTTTTTGAAGGACTCGGTGATAACTTTAATGTTCCAGGTAGAGCTGAAAAAAATAGGTGTAAGAAAAATTACCAAATCCCTCTGGGCCCTGGCCAATAGATATTATTTCCAGGGATTGTAGCTGGGTCTGTACCAGCTTCTCACACGCTGTAGGTTTTGGTGTGAGCAATCTCCAGGGTCCCTTACAATGACCCCTGGGTTCCTAAGAATGCTTGGGTTAAGAGGTCATTAGCCAGAAGGGAAGAATTTAAAGATTCCAGCCGCCATAGTGAGAATTCTTATTTTTGGTCATGATGAAAACATGTTTGGGGTTAAAAAGGTATACTGTGAATTCTTGAACCTCACTCAGTAATAGTTATTGGTTATACATAATAGTTACTATATCCTCCTCTAAGGTCCTTCTGGCTCAAGGTGAAACCAAGAGAAGCAGCACCTAATTTCTATGCACACAGATGCCATGTCCTCCCAGATTTAATCCACATCTTCTTAGTCATCTAAAAAAAACTTTGCTACATAAATATATTCAAGGAAAAATAATAACTATAGGAAAAGTATGATCACACACTGCCTATTATAGTTATTCATTAAATTCATTCTGTAGCTATTTATTGAGCAACTGCAATATTCCAGGCATTGTTTTAGACACAAGGATATAACAGTGAACAGACTGGTCTCTACTACATGGAGCTTCTATTCTAAGCAAAACTGAATATGCCTTGGACAACAGCATTGCTTGCTGATAAGTGAATGGTAGCACCAAAGGAAGGAACCCAGGTAGTCTAGGAATGGTTACTTTCCAATGAAGATGAAATTATAATAATAAGGAGTAAATAATAATACTGATAAATAGCTAATACTTATGTAGTGTTTACCATGTGTCAGACCTATTATAAGTCTTCTTAGGTACTTCTTCTTTAACTCTTAATCCTACAAAGTAGGAACTATTATTATACTAGTTTATAGATAAAATTGAGACATAAGAGATTGCCACTTTCACAAGTTTACATGACTGAAACTGAAAGAGTCAGGATTGGAACCCAGCTCAGTATGTCTATGATTTTACAGATTCTAAGTCAATCATTAAATTTCCCAATCTTCTACTTCTAAAAACTCTCCCTCTCTCCATAGGAGAAAGAGAAAAAAATGAAAAAGAAAGATCTCCTTTTTTATAAAAATCAAACCAAAACAAAATGCAATAAAATAACAGAGGATGATCTCAGAATGTGTTCCTTTTTTTTTTCTCTCTCTTTTTCTCTTTTTTCTCCCCTCTCAGTAGGAAAAGATGCCACAGGACAGGATTCTGGATTTTTCAAAGTCTCCTTCCTGTCAACAAATCTGTGACAGCGGCAGATGAATAGAAACATATTTCTGTGTGATTATAAAACAATCTCATGACACCCTCAGGGGCACATAACAGTAGCCTGAGTGAGATTTGACTAAATTAAAAGCTAAAGGCCTATCTACTTACATATGTCTTTCTTAGAAAAAAGCTATCTATGAGATTGACTAATGAGACATAAAATATGAGACCCCATGTTAGAACTGGATGGGGGGGCACATAAAACTGCATCAGTTAATGTTGCTGTTTCTCCCTTACTTTTAGGAAGTACATTTGAAGAATGCAAGTAGAGGGAGTGCAGGAAACAAGAACTACAGAATGTAGGAAGACCTTCCTGAATTGTGAAGAATGACATGCCACCGGCAGGATCGTTTGCTCTGTAGGAGTTACCTGATAAACACCAGAAGACCTACCAAAAAATGTTTGATCACATTTTAAAAGATGGGCATTCCCCTCAATGAAATACGCAAGTAAACATTCCAACATTGTCTTTAGGAGTGATTGTTAAAAGCTTTGCACCTTGCAAAAACGGTCATGGAGTTGGTAGATTGCTGTTGATCCTTTATCAATAATGTTCTATAGAGAAAAAAGAAAAAATATATATATATATCTTAATCCCTGCCTCTCAAGAGCCACAAATGCATGGGTGTTGTATAGATCCAGTTGCACTAAATTTGTTTCTGAGTCTTGGCTGCTGGAGCCATTCATTCAGCAGCCTAAGTGGTTTATTAATCTTTTTTTTATTTGCACTTCTTTCCACACAACACAGGCCGTTTGTTCTACAGTGTCTGATGATCTTGTCTATCTCCACCCCCTCAACTTCATCATCTTTACATTTGCCAAATTTGGCCTCCTCAAGAGCAGCAACAAGCAGTCAAATAGCACACCCAAAAGATTTTAACCCAAAAGATTCCATCTGTGGCATTTGTACCAAAATATAAGTTGGATGCATTTATTTTAGACAAAAGCTTTATTTTTCCACATCTTGCTAAAAAAAAATGCAAGTAGTTGCAATATTGAGGCCAATCATTTTTAGGCATATGTTTTAAGCATAGAAAGTCTCAAACTCTTAACAGTTCCTTAAAATGATGAGTTAGTGTACAACCTGATTAGTAACTTCTCTCTTTTTATTTTTTCCATATAGAGCACTATGTAAATTTAGCATATCAAGAATACAGGATATATCACAAACAGTATGTAAAACTCTGTTTTTTTAGTACAATGGTGCTATTTTGTAGTTTGTTATATGAAAGAGTCTGGCCAAAACGGTAAAAGGTGAAAGCAAAACAAAAGAAGCCTGGAGCTGAAGATGACACAAAGAGGAAGAGTAATAAAAATCCATCCATGTGGGAAGAAGGCAAAATTCCCCTAATTATGCCTTCCGGGAAAAACGTAAGACACAAAGTCCACTGATGCCAATTCGATTGGCAAGTCCAGAGAGGAGTGGAAAAAGCAGAGAAGCTAGGAATTTAACAGTCCTGGCTTCTGCTTCTCGTTGAAGAAACAAACATCTGCTGACTCCATCATGGACTCACCACTGTGTGACTTTGGGCAAGTCACTTCACCTCTCTGTGCCTCAGTTTCCTCATCTACAAAATGGGGGCAATATGCCATCTACCTACCTCATGGGGGTGGTATGAAGATTACACAGATAAAGCTCCAGATTCTATCCTGGGTTGCTATGAGGGCATAAGGTCAGAGCCCTTCAGTTGCTGGGATGCAAGGAATTGTAGAAACAACCCATTCATGGTATAGCTAGGAAACTGATTAGCCGAACGTTCCTGACACACTAACTCTTGTTAATGAAGCTGTTCCACAGACCATCCAACTCTCCTAGTTGTGAAAAGCTGCCAGTTCCATCTCTTTTAAAACCCTTTCAAAATAAGTTAGAAATATCTGATTTACAGTTTCATCTGAATTCTGCATTTGGATGTATGAATACAAAGTGAAAAGAGAGAAAGGAAAAGAAAAAAAAATGGGAAAAAAGACTTCCACCAGTGAAAGGGCAACTACTCCATCTTTTAGCACTCACTGACTCTTCTAGGCAGTTACTAGTAATCTAAGACAATACTTCTTGTAATATTATAAATGATACTCCATTCATTGTGAACAATATAGTTATTCTTACTCCTTGGGCAATCTAAAAAAAATTGCCCAAGATTCCAAATATTGACATAGTATCTAATTTTTTAAAATCACAAAATTACTTTCTTTAATAATTTTGCTCTTATCCTTAGCTGTATTTACATATATATATAAAAATTTTTGTTAAAAGATACTTGACTAGAGTTGCTAGTTGAGAGGCAAAATTTTCTTTTCCAAAACTAGAAATTTTCCTTCATGTCTGCTTACAAGAGTGACCCCTGGCCCTCTGTGGGTGCATCTTATCCATTCAACTGAAAATTAATATCAAGAAGATCCAACAGTGAGGACAGGCCCATGGTGACCTAAAAAATGTTTCCCATCTACATACATATTAAGATTTTCTTATTAGAATGATGAATCGTCTATCATTCAGATCTTTTTTATCTGCCTTTAAACATTTTGGTGAAAAGCAGCCAGGCTTGATTACTTCATGCAAATTGTATTTCTTTATTCTTGGAAAGTGTACATGGAAAACAAAAATAGCATCTTTAGTTTTCATCCCACTGGTTCACCTTGAGTTTCAGAAACCAGAGAAAGTCTAAGACTTCCTGGATCTTCAAACATATGCAAAAAAAAAAAAGGCCTATATGGTGGGTCCCCCACTCAGCCAGTAAGTCTTTAAACCCTCAGACCCTCAGCATTACTTGAATTGAGCACCGCTGGCATGCTGAGCCATGCTGTGATCATTACAGACAAAGGTAAAAGAAACTGGTAAAAGAAACTCGTTGTTGCCCTTTATCTGTTTTCCAGACAGATGTGTTCTGTGGATTTAGATGCTGGACCCCTCTTCCCAAAATGGCACTTCTGGTTTTTATTTCTTGCTCTTCATGTATACCCTTATGTGCAATCCTCTGCAGACCTGTGGGTTTCCAGACACACTTGGATATGGTAATTCTAAGTGTCTCTGACTTATTTGATTCACTTAATAATTCTATTCATGGCCAAAACTACCCCAGTGAGGAAAGCTTAAATGTGCAAAGCCATATTATCTTTCTTAATTTTTCTAACACATAATCCTCTCCAACTGTATCATAAATCAACAAATCAAAAATTGACTAATTATACTAATGCACTACCTTACTTTTAAATGACATTAAACTAGAAGACAAATCAGTGCAAAACTTCAAAAGTCAGTTGATCTATACACTACAGCAGAATGACCCAGGATTGATGGAAAGGAGCACCTAAAACTTCACAACTCAAAACTTTCATAAGCTTTGCTTTGGATTTTTCAAATAAGGCAATTTCAAAATGTTTATGAAAAAGCTGTAAATATTGGTAAGAATGAGCCAATTCTTAAGCTTAAAGGCTTAAGTCCTAATTTAACCGACAATGCTCAATACCTAGATCAAATTTCTGTTCCCAGTTCCCCAAATAACGTAAGTGTCTTTTGAACACTTGAAGATGAGGAGGCTCCACTGAAAAAGTTAACTTATCTTTCTATCAGAATCCACCCTTCTAGAGATAAAAACTCGCAACACCCACTCCCCCCACATAAACACACATGCAAGTGCATGTGCGCACACACACTCACCCTAAAATTCCAATGAAAGACTGAGAAGAAATTACTTCCTTGAAAAAACTTATTGGGAAAAAAAAGAGAAAGAAAAAGAAAAAGAAAAAAGAAAAGAAAGAAAGAAAGAAAGAAAGAAAGAAAGAAAGAAAGAAAAAGAAAGAAAGAAAGAAAGAAAAAAGAAGGAAAGAAAGAAAGAAAGAAAAAGAAAGAAGAAAGAAAAGAAAGAAGAAAGAAAGAAAGAAAGAAAGAAAGAAAGAAAGAAAGAAAGAAAGAAAGAAAGAAAGAAAGAAAGAAAGAAAAGCAAGCCTGGCCTCCCTTGAGAATACATCCCCTCCTTGGAATGTCAATGTTTGTGTAGATGAAACCATCTCATGCACTGTGGCTCCAGAGTTTCTGTTACTAGTTTATGCACTTGGGAGACTGCTTAAATGGAAGATGTAGCACATTTTGCTTTCCCATTTATTGTTTGGCCGGCTATGCCAATGTGGTGCTATTGTTTCTTTAAGAAAGTACTTGACTAAAAAAAAAAAAAAAAAAAAAAAAAAAAAAGAAAAAAAAGGAAAAAAAAGCATAGACATATTTTTTTAAAGTATGAGAACAACAATTCTATAGATAGATGGCTTAATAAAATAGCATGAGGTCTCATCACCACCAACTTTCAACTTTTTAATCACTCACAAGTAGCATACTGTTCACCAAATTCCAAATTTTGAGTTTGGGGGTGTAGGGGCAGAAGATGGAATTTTTGTAAAGTTAGAAAGCTCTGTTACTCTGTCGGCTCTTAAACTCAGCAAAATTAGCAATATGTTATCCAATCTGAACACCTCGATCAAGAGCAGAGAGTACATGTGGGGGGAAAAAAGGATCTTATAGGCAAATGGCAGAACAAAAGATGATAAAGTCACTCATTGATTTTTTGTGCTCTGCTCTAAAACAGATATTCAGCAAGTGGAGAATTTTTTTAAAAAAAAAGAGGGAAAAAATTGCATAGATTAAATCTGTTAAAAACAGCTTCCGCCACCTCCCCCTCAAGTCATTCTCTGGCATTTACTGGTTTATAGAAGATACTCTCCCTTTGTCTAAACATCTCAAGGAGCAGTAGCTCTCCTAAAAAGCAATCACTGATCTCATTGGGAAGTGTAGGGAAATATTTCCTTATGAGATGGGGGTTATCTACTGATAAGGAAAGAAGAATTTATGAGAAATCATTGAAAGAGATGGCTAACAATCTGTGAAGATTTTTTTTGTTTTTGTTTTCTTTTGTTTTTTACTTTATACAGTCTTTATGAATATCTTAATGTTCAAAACTGATTTGGTTCTTTCTTCTTCTTCTTCTTCTTCTTCTTCTTCTTCTTCTTCTTCTTCTTCTTCTTCTTCCTTTTGTATTGGAATGAGGGATGATAAGTTAAACCCACATAGACTCTTTAAAACTATAGGCTAGATAGAAGTGTATGTTTGACTTGTTAAAGCTATAATCAGACTATTTAAAATGTTTTTTCTATTTTTAATCTTAAAAACGTGTACTAATTTATTAGAGACAGATCCTGTTTGGCTCTCTTCATAAGAAAGAAGAATCACCTGGGCTTTCCCCTCAATGTTTTCAAAAGATAAATCTGATTTATCCATCATTATGGCATCATTTATTTTTTTAAAAAATTTAATACAAGAATTGCAATTCTTTTTGCCCCTCTCTTGCAATGATCATGAAGTTCAAAATATGAGGGGTAAAAAACAAGAAGAAAATTTTGTGGATTCTTTGTTTTCAGTGCTAGTGTTTAATCCTATAGTACATATTTGCTTATTGCTATGTTAATATTCTAAAAGACTTTCCTGTTAGGTGTTAGAAACTGATACATAGATATCTTTTTTGTGATTTCTATTTAAAAAAAAAAGGAGATGAGAAGACTGAAGCTTTAAAGTGCATATGGTACAGGATAAAGATACCAACTGAAATAACCAAGTCCATCCTAGAACAATATTTTTATTTTGGCGGGGGAACTTCTCATACATAAGACAGAGGTCCAGGGAATTTTTGAAACTATCTCTATTCCTCCCAGTCCTTATTCAATTAGTATTTGCCTCAAAATTGTATAGAGGGGTCACCAAGCTGAAACCCTGGAATTCAAGGGGCTTCTTTAAAAAATACATATTCTACACATTCCCTCTTAATTTATGACTACACGTTGATCTTAAACATGGTCTCTTTTCTTCCTTGTTCTTCAGCTGTCCTTGACAGGGTATTTAAAGGAAACAATATATATAATTTTAAAAGGGGAACAAAAAAGTCCCAAACATTACTGCCCAATTGAAATGTGAGTTAAAATGGAAATAGTTTCTCCTGCTTAATCCCTGCTGAATCACCTGTCACCTTCAGAATTACTTTTCACAACCCTTATAATCTACCCTTTTTTTTAACTGCCCAGGCCTACTGCATCCTAAAAGTAAACATTATCCATTTCCTTTTGCCCAAAATGCACTGATGTAAAAGTAGGGAAAAAAAAAAAACTCAAAGTTCCAAGTCACCCACTGGCCCCATTTACCTACTGAGAGCAAAGTCACTTTTGTTAATCCCTTAATCTGATTGTTTGGATATTTATCTTGTACCTGCTGCTAAATACACTGCAGGAGGGACTCTGAAACCTCGAACTGTCTACTCACATCTCTTATCTGTATCTGTGTATCATTAGAATGTCTATTCAAAATATTAAAAAACTTTCAAACACCATGCAGCTTGTATTCAGTTTACATAAAGGCCCCAAATATCACGTCAGATCTTTTGTTACTAAGGGAGTTAATGAACTATGAGAACTGGGATTACATCATGTGTTTTGCTTCATACGGTTTTATCACACTTACAAGCCAAGTGTGATAAATACACATACAGACACTGAATTTTTTTTCCCTGCTACTTTGAAACCGGGAAATAATGATTGGTCATTCATTATATCTGTCTTAGTTCAAGAGCATATTTTTTATTAAATTAACTCTGATTGTATTTGAAATCATTAATCATTTATGGCAGAGGAATATCAATCCTAATGACTTCTAAAACTGTAACTAACTGAATCATTATCTTACATTTACTGTTAAGTAAGCATATTTGGAAAAATGTATGGCTAGAGTGTCATAATAAAATGATATATCTTTCTTTAGTAATTACATTAAAATTAATCACATTTGATTAATTAGTTCTTTTGGACAATGTTGGTGTGTCATTCCTTAAGAATTCTGTTGTTCTGTAGCATTTCTATCAATTAAGGTCACTGCAACAAATAAACAAGAAAACTTACCCAGAAAAAAAATAAAACTAATCATACACCAGAATGGAGATATCTTACAGAATTTACAGATTATATATATTTTTTTAATTTTTTTATTGGAGTTCAATTTGCCAACATTTAGCATAACACACAGCTCATCCCGCCAAGTGCCCCCCTCAGTGCCCATCACCCAGTCATCCCAAACCCCTGCCCACCTCCCCTTCTACTACCCCTTGTTCATTTCCCAGAGTTAGGTGTCTCTCGTGTTTTGTCACCCTCACTGATATTTTCACTCATTTTCTCTCCTTTCCGTTTATTCCCTTTCACTAATTTTTATATTCCCCAAAAGAATGAGACCATATAATGTTTGTCCTTTTCCAATTGACTTATTTCACTCAGCATAATACCCTCCAGTTCCATCAACGTCGAAGCAAATGGTGGGTATTTGTCGTTTCTAAATGCCGGGACACCTGCACCCCAATGTTTATAGCAGCAATGTCCACAATAGCCAAACTGAAAGGAGCCTCGGTGTCCATCAAAAGATGAATGGATAAACAAGATGTGGTATATGTATACAATGGAATATTACTCATCCATTACAGATTATATTTAAAAATAAATGTTTCAAAGAACTTGTACAAACTGTGTAAGCGATGTATGAATTGTACGATATATGCATTAACAATAAAGCAGGTTTAATTAACTGACCCCACTCACTGTAACCCAGCAGTGAGTTATAATCCATGACACAAAGGGACTGGGAAAAGATTTTCCATTATATAAGGCACATGATATGCAAGTAACATTCACTATTTTTCCATATGGTAAGATTTCATAAGAATGTGGTCTTTCAGCACTGAGTTTTTATTTTAATAAATCTTTCTAATTCTTTACTGAATGTCAAACTCACAGCAGCATTTGTAGAAGCACAAAGGTGGAAAGATTAGTAATTTCCCTCTTGTTTGAAAGCATCTCATTCTACTTCCCTTTTCTTTCATGAGCTGTTTGGAAAGTTACCTAAATGTAAAAAAAAATGCTCAGAAGCCTTGTACTTGATTTTAAGGAACTGCTGGAAACCTCAGTGTATTATTTTCCCACGTGCAGCTCACCGTTGCTCCTGTCACTCTTGCAGCTTCTGTAGCTCTCCTTAACCTTCTTCTCCGGGCCTCCTTGTCCTATTTGTGCTCAGCATCTTGTGTCCTATGGCCATTAGCTTCTAACTGTACTGTTTCTCTTCCTCGATGACACTTCCCCCCTTCATTCATACTAGGCTAGTCTGAGCACAGCCTCTCTCTGTACTTTTGGGAATGATGAAGTGGGAGGCAATTAAACATGTGGCAGACCCTGACTGCCAATGGCAAATATCACTGTCACTAAAATCCATTAAGGAATTTCTGGCTCCTCGTGGGCCTCTTGTCATTTTAGTAAGACTTCTTTATCTCCTCAGCAAACTTTCCCCAGAATTACCTCCTACTCAATCCTTCCTCTCCTCCCTTAGAAAGAACTTGCTAAGAGGGCACCTGGGTGGCCCAGTCAAGTAAGCATCGGACTCTTGGTTTCAGGTTGGGTCATGATCTCAGGGTCATGAGACCAGGCGCTGTGTGGGGCTCCATGCTGGGCATTAAGCCTGCTTGGGATTCTCTCCCTCTCTCTCCCTCTGCTGCTCCCCCCCCCCCACCATATACTTTTTAAAAAATAAGCCTTGCAAGGAAATTCTATTTCGTTCTCAGGCAGAGCAATCTTACCCAACCCAGCTTCACCCAGGGTGGGAGTTGGTGCAGGGCCTGCTCATTTTTTATTACTGAATATACTCCAAAGGTAATTTTTCCTAAACAAAAGAGCAATTCTTCCCTAAGAGGAATTCTGTCTTCCTTTACAGTCGTCTAAGTCCAATTGTAGCCTCTTTCTAAAAATGTCATTTTTTCCTTCCCACAAGATCTACATGAGTGATAATTACTACCACCCCAACAATAATGTTTAATATTGTTGACTAATAACATTTATGTTTGGGGTTCCTGAGTGGCTCAGTCGGTTAAGTGTGCCACTCTTGATTTCGGCTCAAGTCACGATCAAGTCATGATCTCAGGGTTGTGAGATGCCCAGCACAGAGCCTGCTTAAGATTCTCACTCCTGGACAGCCTGGGTGGCTCAGCAGTTTAGTGCTGCCTTCGGCCCAGGGCATGATCCTGAAGACCCGGGATCAAGTCCCATGTCGGGCTCCCTGCATGGAGCCTGCTTTGCCCTCTGCCTGTGTCTGAGGCCTCTCTCTCTCTCTCTCTCTCTCTCTCTCTCTCTCTCTCTGTGTGTCTCTCATGAATAAATAAATAAAATCTTTAAAAAAACAAAAAGATTCTCACTCCTTCTCCCTCTGCCCCCTTTTCCCCCAGATATAGATAAATAAATAAGAATAATATTCACATTTGTTGAGCAACTACTATGGGTCAGTCACTATGCCAAGAGCTTTAAACCCCTTATCTCTTTAGCCTTTACAAAGATTCTATCATGCAGGCACTATTATGAACCCTATTTTACAGGTGAGGAACTGGAGGGAGACTCAAAGATATTATGTAACTTACTAAAGGTCACAGACAGGCTTGAATCTGGGCCTGAGGACATCAAAACCTGTGTTTTTACTACTTTGCTGTTCATGCCCCAAACCAGATACAAGAACAGTTCCATATGGTGAGAGATACATTTTGTTAAAAATAACTTTTATGTGCTCCAGGCAGAAATCTACCTAATTGTACCATTGAGTGATAAACTATTTATGAATATTATATTATCAAGATATGTAAGCATTTTTGCTCAGTAACCAACATATCTCACTGGGCTTTCAACCCTCCCTGCTGCCATTTCTCTGCTCATTCACACAATGTCAGTTCCTGAGAGTCCTTCACGTGGTGTATGGAACACCCAGTGGTAAACCAATCTCAGGATTCCTCAGTGAGGAGGTATGACTTGGGTCCTTACACAGTTCAGAAATAAATCATTCCCACATAAGTAAAACTAGAAGCTGCTGATGAAGAACCTCAGCAAGAGCTTTGGCAATAATACACCTGCTGTTCTCTTGACAGTTTGTGAAAGCTAGTGTGGTCTCAAGGGACATCATTAGATCAGGGCTTCCACAACAGCAACAGAAAAATGTGGATTCAGGGAGTGAATTTCATGAGACCCATTTCTTATATCAGAGCCCTTCAAAAGAACTGTAGTTGGCCCAGTCTAGGGAGTTGCAACGGGTATAATGCTAGCCCTAGATGGCATTTTGGAAATGTATAGGGACATTCGGGGTTGTCACTCATGATGATTGAGGATGGCATTATTGGCATCTAATTGGCAGTGGTTAGGGCTCCAGACATTTCATGTAGGTGACAGAAGTATTTGTAATCACCTAAGCTTATAAACTCAAAGTATTTTTCCATGATTTTAATATACACTGAATTTTCATGCATGCAATTACCATGTAAACTGAGAGGAAGGTGGTACTTTATTTCATTTGGAACCTTACCGAATGTCGTCCACTATTTTAGAAAAAAACAGCATTGATGACTATGCTAATTGTGCTAATTCAATCTCTCCATTCTCTGAGTGGATCAGTCAACTTGCAGCCATCGAGTTCAGGACTCTCCGTACCCATAAACATCTGACCGCTTCATTATGTGTGCTAATAGAGTTGTGCCTGAGCATTTGACTTTGTAATGCATGTTATCTTATGAAAAACTGTTTTCATTTTAGTTCTCCTTCATATTGTGGTTGAAATTGTATATGCCAGCATTATCTATAAATTTTTCTTTGGGACACCAAAGGGAGTATCATGAAATATTTGTTACATGAAAGGGAGCTTTGGGTTTGAAAGAACTGAACCACTGGGCTTTCCATACCAACCACGAGTCTCCCTGGGTCATAATGGCAGGTAGACGGCAGAGCCTTTGCCCTCTTCTCAGTGAAGCACAAGTGTGAAGCTGAGCTGAAAGCTGGTGTCTTCCTCACCTGTTTATGGATGGAGATTAGATCTCTTTGGGATCCCATAAAAGATAATGGTTATGGCTAATATAACATCTGGTTTGTAAAGGTTCTTTCCTTCACCTGGTGATAGGATGAGATGATTTTGAAAAGAATAAAGCAATCAGTAAAAACAGGAACAGATGTAAATTGGATCTGAGACAATTACAGCAGTGTATCAGAAGTAAAATTCAACCTTGGATTTCAAGCAAGGTACAAAATGTGGCCTAGAAAGGAGGTTTCTCTCTCTCTCTCTTTCTCTCTCTCTCTCTCTCTGTGTGTGTGTGTGTGTGTGTGTGTGTCTCTCTCTCAAAGGTTTTATTTATTTATCTGAGAGAGAGAGAGAGACAAAGAGAGTAGGAGGAAGGGCAGACAGCTAGTGAGAGAATCTTAAGCAGAGATTGCTCCTGCTGAACATGGAGCCTGAGGAAGGGCTTGACCTCATGACCCTGAGATCATGACCTGAACTGAAACCAAGAGTCAGATACTTAACCAGCTGAGCCACCTGGCACCCCAAGAGGTGAATGGCTATTACCAGGGAAGTCAAAACTGTTCCTGCTTAGCCGCTTACCTCCTCCAAAAAAAGCAGTAGTAACAGCCTCTCTCCAAATGGAAATTGGGGCCTGGGGGGCGGGGGCAGGAAGATCATAGTCTTTTCATGACCATGTCTATACAAGTGCTATGGCTGAGCATCACATTCTGCTCCACAAATATGGAACTGTCCTTCCCAACCTCAAATATCTAGGAGAGGGAAAGAGAGAGTGAGTGTGTGAGGAGAAAGTGATTATTCCTCCAAAGAGGCAAGGAGACACAATGACAGGCAGAAATGATATCCAAAGATTCGCTCTGCCACCTTATTTGGTCCAGAACTTCTAATTCAGCCACCCATATAGAACCTAAAATATTCAAAGGTAGGGTTACCAAGA